CATCCTCCCACCCACATCCTCACACTCACACACTCTCACATACACACACACTCATCCTCTTACTCTCACACACACATCCCACACTCACATACACACACTCTCACACACGCATCTTCACTCACATACACACACTCTCTCAAACGCATCCTCACACACACATCCTCACACTCTCACATACACACACACTCATCCTAATACTCACACACACACTCTCACACACACATCCCACACTCACATACACACACTCTCTCAAACGCATCCTCACACACACATCCTCACACTCTCACATACACACACGCATCCTCACACTCACTCTCACATACACACACGCATCCTCACACTCACTCTCACATACACACACGCATCCTCACACTCACTCTCACATACACACACGCATCCTCACACTCACTCTCACATACACACACGCATCCTCACACTCACTCTCACATACACACACGCATCCTCACACTCACTCTCACATACACACACACTCATCCTAATACTCACACACACACTCTCACACACACATCCCACACTCACATACACACACTCTCACACACGTATCTTCACTCACACAACACACTCTCTTACACTGTCACAAACAACCTTCTCAGTCTGTCTCATGCACAACATCCTCTCACATGGATAGCATATATCCATGCTTTATAGCAAACGTCCACCACAAGCATGCCCTGTGCAAAGTCTTATTATTCTGCCTTTGTTTTTAATATATAGTTTATACTGTTATATTGTTGCAGTTTTGAACAAAGAATATTAGTAAATTGCTGTTCTGAACAAACTATTGGTATATTCTTGCAGTTAAGATGGTATATTCTTGCAGATAGGTGAATAAATGATTAAAACACTGTTTTGCACTTACGGCTGATTATTTGAATTAAAGCAGTGTTCAAACTTAATGATAATTCCATGGTTTTTATTTAACTTTCCACAGTATTTAAGTAAAGCTCCTTACTGAACATTAAAAGCTGAAGAAAATACAGAAAATCTAATGTAAAATGACAGCAAAACACTATTTTTGAATTATGGAAGTGCCCGTTATTTAACGGTAATTTTCCGGCACCCCAGCTGCTGGAATTTTACCGTTTTTTTACGGGATTTTTTTTTACAGTGTAAAGTTTCATCAGCTTAATTTTTTTCATAGGACATCTCCATGGATATTCCAGTCATGCTTTCAACTAAATCACTTCAGTTTCAACCTTGTTGTCCATCTATTAGAGTTATCAGAGTCAATGACAATCACTGCCTCCACATCAGTAGAAGAAACCCCTTCATATGGCCTTGGCTGCATCTGACATTTAACCCTTATGATGCTGTATCCATTGGCACACAGTTACTTTATACACAACAGCTTACAGTAGTCATTTTCATGCAATAATGGAGGAATTTTATCTTGAAGAGAATTTGACAGAATTGTGGGTTATATATGTGCATTTACATATGTATTTAAACTACTACTACTTAGAAATAACTTAAAGAAACCTGAATAATATAATTTAGATTTGTGGTGCTGAAATAAAATATTTGTAAAGTGCAAATGAGGTTACCAGCAGGAAGAAATAGAAGACCCAACACATCTGAGGAAACTGCTGAAATTCTGTGGAACATTTCATCATCAGCACCAGCTACTTCCCTATACGACCATAAAAGTTAAGGCCCATTTACACCAAGACCAATATCTATTTAACCACATACTGGTAACCAAGCAGAACACTCTCGCAACTGCCTGCTAATCTGCCTGACTGAACAGCCTGTAAAAGCTTAAAATTATAAAATGAACTATATTTGATTTGGAGATTAGGCTTTGTCAACCCAACATCAAAAACGGTCTCAACAAACCTTGCTTTTAGTTTCGTTTGAGTTTATAGGCAGTTTGCATTCCTTCACTCATGAAAATAGCATTAATTTTTTTTAAATAATGGCTATGAACTGTTAAAAATCACTTTCAGAATGAATAAATGATAAATAAGTTACAACTGGAGCAATAAATATATAAGAATCCACACCAACACACAATAACGTTCTGTTTTTATAAGTGTGCTGCAGTTATGTCATCTGCCCACTTTTATGTGCACCATAACAAGCAAGAAACTGAAGTATTATTAACCATGAATGAGAGTTTTGAAAGATTCACTGAAACGGATAAATCAATGTTAAATGAAAAAATGAAATAAAAAAATATTGAAAATGCTATTTTCATGAGTAAAGGAATGCAACCTTCCTCAACTTTTGCCTCAACTCAAAATAAACTATAAAAGTAAGATTTATTGAGGCCGTTTTTGATGTTGGCTTGACAGATATTAATCACACCATTTAATTAGTTAATTTGAAAGTTTTAAGCTTTTACAGACTGTAGCCTACAGTCAGCAGATTACCAGGGCATTGCTAGGTGGTTGCACGAGTGTGCTGGTTGGTAACTGTGGTTAAACAAATAGGCTTGTTTGATGGTTGGTATGGGGTTTTGGCAAGTTGCTGGGTTATTTTAACTGGCTGTTCAGGTGCTCTGGCTAGTTACTGGTTCATTCTAGGACAGGGCTTCTCAACTCTGGCCCTCGAGGTCCACTTTCCTGCAGAGTTTAGCTCCAACCCTAATCAAACACACCTGAACAAACTAATCAAGGTCTTCAGGATTGCGAAAAAGTTACAGGCAGGTGAGTTTGATCAAAGTTGGAGCTAAATTCTACAAGAAAGTGGATCTTGAGGGCCCGAGTTGAGAACCCCTGTTCTAGGGTGTGCTGGATGGTTGTTAGTAAATGCTGAGGTCTTCCTGCTGGTTACTTGGAGTTGTTCTTCTATTTGTTTTACAAGGTGGCTGGTGTAATTATTTGGTGAATAATTGTCTTCTGTTACCTAATCATTATTATAATCTCAAAAAATAATAATTTTATTTAAAATAATTACTGGTTATAAACAGTACACAGTAGCCTATTCACTGGCCAGGAAAGAAAAACTGGGAAGGATGGTTGTAGGACAAGCAAGTAATTTTAATTTAATTTAATATTGTGGTGAGATCGATAGTGGTGATTACATCACACCGTGCGGGTCAGCTGAACTGCTGCTTGGACTGATGTCCCATCGGTTCTGTGAATATCTTTTTGAGTGCGACACCGCCATCTGAAATATGACTGTGCTCGCTCCCGTCAACGCCTCGTGAACGCGCGGGCCACAGAGAGAGTAGTAGCCAGAGCGAAGAGCGCAGGCACGATAACGCTTTGTACCGAGCAGAAACTGCACCGACCGGTGCTAGACAAGCCATTTGACCTTCAGCGAACCGGAGGGTTGATCTCTACCATTCAGACGTTTTCAACACACCACACCGGACTAGTATCGGATCGTTTTACCGCGTCTGCTCATTTTCTTTTGTAAACACATTTTTATTTGTTAGCGAGAGGTGGCCACGTCCTTTATTTTTCTGACCTCGCGGTTTGGAAAAACCTAACACATTCTGAGTGGTTGCACCCAGGAATGGATACTGGAGTTGTCACTGAAAAGAAAAGGTAGGGATTCCCGTTTCTATTTCGAATAAAGTGGTCTGCTGAGCAGAATTGGTTGTTTTGTGCAGTAAACGGGCCGAAAGATCTTCATCCCCGTCATACAGAACGTGTCGCCATTTTGTGCTGGGTGTTAACCAAGCGACTAAGAGCAAGATTAAAGCGCTCATGCCGACTATTTGTCTTTAAACAACCATTAAAGGTTGTTGTAAGCGATTTAAAGAATCATATTTGTTGAGTTGTACCGCATTATTTTGCCCTTTTGAGGTAATAAGAGTGTCTAGTGTCTGTCTGTGGAAGGAAGCTAACAGAACTAACGTTAGCTGCATGCTCACTTAAACTTCCCCTGATTTATTGCTTAAACGGTTGTAAACCGTTTATAGTATTATAGACGAAATTCAGTTCTCATGAAAATGTGTAAACACATTGGTTATGTAGGCACAGACGTATTTGACCATAAATGTATGTACGAATGATTTAAATAAATAAATAAAAGCCTTTTCATAGTGTAATAAGGTGTAGTGACGCTTGTGACACTACAACAAATTCCTTGTATGTGCAAACATACTTGGCAATAAAGCTCTTTCTGATTCTGATAATCAGACAGCTGCATGTCTGTTAGAATGGAGGAGAAAGCAAATGTTATGATCTTTGTTCTTTGCTCAGTGGATACTAATTTTGTACTTTGTATTCTGGTATTTTATATTTCATTAAGTTCTGAAAGTTTTATGCAGTGTATTGTCTACGTTAAAAGGAGCCATGAGTGAGTTTATGTTGGATCCCTTCTTTATCCCTCAGAGCACTTGACCCCACCGTTCACTCTAATGCCGAGTTCACACTGCACGATTTTCAAAGACGTCGGATCACTGTTGGTTTCACACTGAAAGACTATCTGGGGTAGCATTCAGTTGTTGCTCACTGTTGCCAACTCTCGCAAGACAAATAAGCAACTGCTGCTTCAAAAACAAGCCCAAATTTTTTTTTTGATTTATTATCATCAATATTATTTATTAATTATTTATTACCAATAAATGAGCCTGCAACATATTAAACTGAAACCACTCTTTTATCTGAAAAGCAAAAACGGAAGCTATTTTACAAAAATCAGCAAACTGCAACAAAGTGAGAACAAAAAACTCATCTCCAATCACCTGTGAGCAGAATAGGATTGGAGAGATGGAAAAGGAGAAAAACACAAGAGCTTCTAAGGGGAGCTGTAACATAGCCACACATTTATAGCCTACTAAAATATTGGCTATTCGAACCAAATATACTCTTAGTATTAGTATAGGACTACTTGTTTTTTATTACAGCCAGTGATAATTAATACATTACAAAAAACATTATAAAAATTTAAAAATAGGCTAAAAGAAGGTCATCCCACTCCTCTGTCTACTTCTGTCATTGCTTGGATTACAGCGTCACGGCACGCGCCTTCTTTTTGAACGTGATTTTCTCCAATGAGGGGGAGGAGGGGGCGGAACATTTGGCAAATTACGCTGCAGCACTTATATTATTGCACTGGTTGGCTATTTACTCTGAGCAGACAGAGTGTCATTCAATGCATTGGAGAATACGGCGAACATAAAGAAAAGAAGTTGCTTGTCAGATTTCCCTAACAAGCAACCGTATTTTTTAAAATAAGCCCAAAAAAACCGCAACTCGCGACCTGGTATTTTTTTCACGCAACTTTTCAAAAAAAGAAGCCCCAAGTCGCGTATAATACGCGGACTTGGCAACTATGTTGTTGCTGTGTTCACACTGCACGATGGAACGACGACAGGAGGTTACACACTGCATGACTTTACAATAGGAAGAATCGCCGACAGCTCTGTCTGGTGCAGGGTTGCCAGGTTTTCGCTACAAAACCCGCCCAATTACTACTCAAAACTAGCCTGAAAATAGCCCAATTGCTTTCGAGGGGGTCCCCCAGTAAAAACCGCGTTCAGGGGGTAAAATACACTTTTTATTTTTTATTTAATTTTATTTTTTTGCCGGGGTTCTCCTGGTACAATTCACATTCCAGGGCCTAAATATCACGTTATTGGGGTCGCTTCAACCTGCTGACATGAAAAACAACCGGCGGCAATCCCGGATTTGGCAACACTGCTCCGCAAACTACGTTTAATATAACTCCTTCCCGAACTCGAATCGTGCAGTGTGAACTCGGCATAACTCGTTGCCCTTGTTCAGCCAGACAGTCTGGCATATTTGTGGATAAAGGACTGGGAGCAGGAATTCGTCCTTGGGTTTTGCTGAGAGTGTCTTATTCTTTGTCAGGCCTGTCATCAGTGTGGGTTCAGATGAGATAAGATGGAAATAAGTGTTGGTATTACTGAGGCTGGAAAATGTTGCTTGGGTTTTTGGTGCATGTGAATTTACTGGACAGGTGACACTGGCATTGGAGTTAAGCTAAGGTCCAGTGTGCCACCATTTATATTATGTTTCAGGTCAATTTGGCCCATTTCAGTTTTTGTGTTTTGGAAATACTGGTTAACCTATTATGTATTGTTGAAAATGTGTGAAAATGTGTTCTCATTTAGGGTCATGAACATGCATTGTAATGTGTTGACACTTTGATATGTTGTGGAATACAACATTTCTGTTGAAATTAAGATGTTTGCAGTTTAGTTTGACTGGCATATTTCATTGTTTAAATTCAGCTACAGAGTTTTTTTTTGGATGCATTCTGTTTCACAGTCCTTTTCATGACTACCCTCTGAGGGTATTTATATTTGTGCATTTGACACACTTTTATCCAAATAAACTTGCATTGAAGGTAGTGCTGGGCGGTATACCGGTTCATACCGAATACCAGTTTTTATTTTTGGCAATATTCACTCATCATGACAGTAAAGTAGGGCATTCTAAGTCAGTATACTGCAGTATTTCCTCTCTCAATCAGTAGAAAATATGGTTAACACCCAGTCATGCATGAAAACAAAAACGTCTTGTACCGTGAAACCGGTATAATTTTGAAAAATAACGTGATATAAATTTTTGGTCATACCTAAACACTAATTGAAGGTGTACATTTTTTTATCAGTTTCTACATGTTCAGTTCTACTGTTTGAGCTTCAGGAAAGTATGCAGAAGATGTGTTTTTCCATACCTTATGTTTAAAATGTGTTTTTTTTTTAATATTTACTTGTGTAAAAAATTTTAATGTTTTTTTTTTAATGTGTGAGAAATGTTAAAGTTTGGCTGTTTTTACCAGATTTTTTTTTTTTTTTTTAAATAGTGTGTTCTTTGGCGAATTGAATCCAGTTAAGGTCATACCTAGATTTACCTAGATTTTGAAGATAATCTCATTTTTATTGGTTGTTATAACAATACTGTGTGATAGGGCTTTAGTTTATACCTCGTTTAAAGTGAATAATAGCCTACCTTGTTTTCAGTGGCAATATTTTCCTTTGACGTTATTTTGTTTCGCATCCAAGTTCAAGCTGCAACATGCTTTTTGCATCTCTTCTCTCAAATCTTAGTCACTCTCAGCATTGACGTCAAAGCACTAACTTCCTGCACTGTCTTGTGGTAAAACCTCTATCAATTTGAATGTTGAAATGTGGCCCTCGTTATGTTTTCCTCTTTAGAAGTGTTTTCATAAGCCTTTGGTGTAAAGGTCTATTGATTTTTGTCATTGTGTTTCAAGGTCTTGCATGTGATCTAAATGAATCCAATTATATTGGAATCATGTTGTAAAACGGGCATCCTTTTGGACTCTTGTCAATTTGGGTTTACTGATTTTTTTTTTTTGGTAGGAGCTAGGGCTGTGCGATATGGACAAAAACAACCTATCGCGATTTTTTTGATCAATTTTGCGATTTCGATTTTAATCACGATTTTGACACACACAGACATGCTTTACAGTCATTAATGCATTCAGTGTGAATTTGAAACATATTTCCAGTAGAAAACCACTTAGAGCTTTATCAAAAAGCTGTAACATGTCTCTAGAACAGACATAAGGCAAAATAATCACTGAGTAAAGGTGTAACAAAATGTCTCTAGAATAGACATATGGCAGAGAAAAAAAAAAAAAAAATCCCGTGTCCAGGGATTTTTTTTTGCCATGCATTGGTCATAGAGCTCTTTGTGGCGTTGCCTCAGATGTTGAACTAGATTTGTCACGTCAAGTTCACACGTACTCCGTCTGCAGTGCGTATACAGTATGTGTATGCGGTGCAGAAGCAGCACGGACTCATTTTGCTTTCGCACAGGACGCGTTTGCAGTCCGCTCCTGATCCGCGGCTGTTTACCACAAACACAACATTTATCCATTATTTTGATTTCAAATCCAAACGTTGTTTCTGAAAATTTATGATGTAATTACTACATTTCTGTGTCAATCCGCGTGCAGCACAGCAGAAATAGATTCCGTGTGGAAACGTTCGCAGCATGACTGCTGCAGACGCACTGCTCCTGGAGCGCACTGCCGGACCGCAATCGCGTGCAGTGTGAACGCTCTGATCCGTTAATATGGGCACGGAAAAAATACGCACCACAGACGGAGTATGTGGACCTGGCGTTACGTTTGTTTGCAAAAACCATTCAAAACATCCCTACAGAGCGCACGCATACATTACGTGAAGTCTAGACTAGTGCGTGTGCGCATGTAGTGTGTTTTCTTTTTTCTTTCAATTCAGTCTATTAAAATGCATTTAGAATGATCACAAATTCAAGACATGATGGCAGAAAATAGAAAATT